TATTGTTCCCTTTATCCGATGACCGAATTTATTTATCCCTGTGGTTCTGGAGCTCGCCACTGCTGGGAGAGGCCTGTTCTTGGCAACTTCACCAAGAGCATCTCAATCACTGTTACTACCATCGGAACAATTTCGGTTCCACTCTGTGGTTTTGTAATTTCCATTTTTAAAACTTCTTAGACTGAACCCTGATGTGCCCAGTCTAGATTGGGCATACTTAAAATGAAACTGTTGAGCTAAAATTAGCTTGACATCGAGATGGAGCTTGTTCGTTTTCCTTCTATTTAGGGCTGACCACAGTCATTATACAGAAGGCATCTAGTCTTTACCGAGTACTCCAGGGAACAGGAGGGGCCAAGGCACAAGCGGGAGCACGAAATTTCTCTGCAGAGGGAGATAGTCGTGAGGCTGAGCAGAGTCTGCAGCTCATGAAGCCAGCCCTGGGGAAGGCTTTGCACTCCACAGCTGTTTACTCTTCAGGGCTTCTGCAGTTAATCAAGAGTGATGGGACCTTTTCTCAGAGTTTGGCTTGGGGGCCCAGAATTCAACTTACATCACCACAAAGGAAGTGTATCTAACAAAGCTTTCTCTTCTTGTTTCTTCACCAAGTAACTTATCTACAGACATGTCCAATGGGTGCAGATAAATAGACTTGCTGTGATGTAGAGAAAAGAATTCTGGTCAAGAGTCAGAAGAGCTGAGTTTTAGTTCAGTTTTTGTCTCTAGCTAGATGTGTGCTTTGGTCTCGATTTTGCCTAATTAATTCAGAGGGTTGAGCTAAGATGCTTTGAGCTCCAGGTTCTGATATTTCTCAATTCTTTTGCAAGAAGAAAGATAATTTTCATTTTCATTATATGTCAAATGGAACAATTAGGGAAGAAAAAAGAAAATCACCTGTTCACCCCTATGTAATCAATATTTTAATTTTTTTTTGTGGTACTGAGGATTGAACCCAGGGCCTTTGCACTGAGCTATATCCTCAGACCTTTTTTATTTTTAAATTTTGAGACAGGATCTCACTAAGATGCTCAGGTTGGCCTCATTCTGTGATTTTCCTGCTTCAGACTCCCAGAATGCTAGAATTACAGGTGTGTGGCACCAAGCCTGGCTTTTAATTTTTTAATTTTAAATTCTAGAATATCATGTGGAAGATTGCATACTTCAAGGATAAGAGTTCTTGTGAGACAACGTACATTACCCTTTATCTTATACAGCATTTTACTTTGACCTTGTAAGTCAAGTATTTCAACTGTTTCGTGTTATTCCAGTTGTGCTCTGATTCATTTGGCTGGACAAGTTAGATAAGGAAAAGGTGCAAGACTTTTCTGTCATAGCCTATGCATGTCATTTTTCTATTTTGCTAGTTCAGTTTTTGAAGTTATAGTCTATAGGTGTATCATGGAGAGAGGCTTGCTAAGTTATTAAAATGTATTTACCATTGTCTTTCCCTGAATATTTATTGTATTGTGTTTACTGAGGAAGAAGGGTATATGGAATGGAGGTGGCTCAGTTATTTTGTGAATAATCACAGATATGGAGAGGAGGCAAGTAAGAGCGATCAGGACCTCAGACAGAAGGGGGAGGATGAAGATGAGACTGATGGATTTACAAAAAAACACCGAAATCTGAGGCACATTGGATTATGTTGTGACTTTTTGTACATGAAAATTCTTTGTGATAATAATCACTTATGTAGTGACTCCTAAAGGGTGAAGAAGTAACTGTGTTTTGTGGACCACGTGGTTTCTGTTTTGACTACTCACCTCTGCTTTTGTAGCAATTACAAATACAAACAATATATACAAGAATGGGGATGGTTTTTCAATAAACTTGTTTTCAGGAACTGGAAGTGGGCTGGATTTTGCTTGTTGGGTCACACTTTGCTGAACCTTGGTACAGATTTTTTGTGATCATCATCACTATCAACATCACTAACAGACATTGTGCCCCTATTATTTGATTTGTGGTAGAACTGAGATCAAAGCCAAAGAAGAGGAGGACAGGGACTTGAGCCCCTATGGCCCCACAAGTCAGCCTTGAACTTACCTGTCAGAAAAGGCCAGTTTTTAAAAGAGAAAACTATGATAGTGTGAAGGTCAAGACAGATTCTTTCTTGATTCCTTAGGTCTACTCTTCAGTTATAACCCTAGTTTTTGTGACTACAGAATAGATTTCTTTTGAAACTATCTGCTACCATTTAAAAATTACCATATTAGCTTCCCCGTCACTGGGACAAAATACCTGACAGCCACAATTTAAAGGAGGAGGGGCTTACTTTGGCTTGCAGTTTTTAGGAATTCAGTCTGTGGTCAGCTGGCTCCAAGGCAGGAACATCATGGTGGAAAGGTTTGGTGAGCAAAGCTGCTCAGTTCATGGTAGTCAGGAAGTAGAGGAGAGGAACACTGCCAAAGAGGAAGGGGCTAGGGACCATAAATGGTACCAAAGGTCACTCCTCCATGACTCACCCAGATACACCCAGGAGCATACTTTACTAATAATCTATTAGGTGTGTCTTTATTTTTTTATTTTTTATTTTTACTGGTACCAGGGATCAAACTCAAGACCTTGCACTTGCAAGGCAGGTGCAGTGCCGATGAGCTAAATCCCCGGCCATTAGGTGTTTCTTAATCCAGTGAAGTTGACAAATCAGAATTAACAGTCAAAACTACTTTGTGACCAAAAAAATTCTGAAATTAAAAACAAGCTCCTAAGGACTTCTGAATTCAAGTTCTTTTTTGGAAATGTCTAAACATCCAAGTTCTCCTTTGGGAACATCCATAGAAGGTTTTAGAAATTCTAAAGTGTTGGCTAACAAATATGTTCTGAGCTATGCTACAACTCTTTCTTATGGTGATGTGTTTTTGAGCAAATGTTTGTGGAAATGAGAGTATGGAACTGACCTCTTTCCTTAGCATCACAGGATTGCCGCCGATTAATTTGAGGTCATACTAGTTTTATCAGATCCATTTTCTCTGTTTCTACTTTCAAGATTAGGGTCCCCAGGATCCCCTTGAGATCTTTGATGAGACAATGTCTTAGAAAATTTATGAGTTGAGTGGAGCTGTAATCTTCTATAACAAGTCATTTTTATCTTTGTTTTTGACTCTTCAATTATTCTTCCTAGTGGAAGTAAAAGTGTAGTTCATGAATTTGATTATTCAATATTCTAGCTTCTAGTGATGTTTTCTTTAATTTTTGGAGTCTTAGGTAGAATCATACACATAAGCTGAGATCTCAGGGTGATGAAAGCATCTATTGTGCAATATAATCTTTATTCTTTGATGTTGGATAAACTTTCATTTTTGGCTTAGGGTCTCTTAAAATACACATATCTTATACGGTGAAGAAGTATCATCAGCCATAAACTTCTCATCACAAATTTGCTTATATCATAGTGAAGAGAGATAAGGCCCTATTATCCCAAGAGGGAATGAAGTCTTAAATGATACTTTTATTTATTTTTTATTTTTTTTGGTACTGGGGATCGAACTCGGGTCCTTGCACTTGTGCAGGCAGGCAGTGAAACCACTGAGCTAAATCCCTGGCCCTTAAATGATACTTTTAAAAGGAAGGAAAGAGTAGTATTCTCTCTTTTACTCTCAATTTTTCCCCTCTATCTCAATAACATCGAATATAACAAATCTTTTCTGGAGCCTGTAACAAACTCTCTGCACTTCCAAGAACATGCTGATTAATAAACTATTATATTAAAAAAGAATCAACTGCCTTATTTCCTCAAATTGTATGTTTAGCACGTGTAATTTCCTTCTTTCTCTCTTTCACAGTGCTAGGTATAGAACTCAGGGCCCCGTGCCTGGTAGACAAGTGGTGTACTGTTGAGCGATATCTCCAGCCCAACTGGTATGAGTAATCTTGATGCCAAAGAAATTTTAGCAATGTGAATGACTGACTACACTTACTAAATAAAAGCTCCTTACTGATTCCAAAGATTATATGAAATTTATTTGACCTTTTGACATAGTCAAAGCAATTTTTACAGTAAGAAAACATGTCAGTAGTTGCCATGTCTGATTTATAGTTATTTCCCTCTCATCTGACCATGGAATTCAGTCCATTAAGGAAATGCGCTGCATTTTTAAAAGAAAATTAGAGCTACAACTGAGAGGTGGATATTGAGACTGGCACACTATAGGGATGTGTAAATTGAGTTGTCCTCAAGGGAGAATTCCGTCTATGTGGAGTGTTTTCCAGACCATGTTCGCTTTCCCTGGAAGTCAGGAGAGTGTACTCTGGCTAACATGAGAATGGTCAGCCAGGTAAAAGGGCGATTCTTCAACAGGAAGTATCCAGTGAATGTGCCTCATGCCAATCCTGTGTTAAAGGTCCATTGCATGTTCTGGATGAGCAGAAATCTATGAGCTATCACCTAGTTTATATTTTTTTAATTTTGGAGAATTCTTCAAAATAGGATGATCTAGGTAAAAGTTCTCAAAGAATGGGATTCAGAGGTACTTTTCTGTTGACCAGAGAAGACTGTGAAGCAAAGTTCAGAAAATCTTCTGTCACTATTGGGGAGTTATAGTACAGGCATAGTAAGCTGTTTCATAGAAACTGTTGAGGAGTCTCAGGATGTATGGCCTCAGCAGAAATGAGTACCTAGATGGGTTAGGATATCTGCTATAGGTGTGTGAGGAGGAAGTAATTATGCAGACACAGTAAACTGGCTTAGTTCAGGTTGAGGTACAAACTTGCAGTGAGTTTCTTGATGTCTAATCCTCAGTTTCTTTATCTATAATGAAGATAATCGACACCTCACCTTCTTACTGTAAGAACTCTTGTGAGAATGCAATGAGATGGTGTCTGAAAGTGTGCTGAGAGTCAAGGAGGAAAAACTTTTCCTCTGCCCTTTTATATTCAGAAGAGGAGGAGCTGAGAATGAAAGTGACATAGGACAGATGAACAGGAGAAAGGCATGTGATTTTTATTAGTATTTACATGCATGAGTGTTCACAGAAAAGGCATGGCTAGTTTTAGGGGTTTATATATCCTTTTAACAAAGGCAGATGGTTTGGGATACAAAGGATGATAAGCTGTGCAAAGTAACACACATGAGGGGACTAATGGGAAATAAGCGCCATTTCAATGCAAAGTTGTCTTGGAGTTGACTCCTCAGCTCTGGTGATCAGAGCTGCTCCTCCCTTCCTTATAACATAAAGGGTGGTGGTCAAGGTGCACCTGCAAGAGGGAAAAGGATTATCTGCTTTCAGGCCATGCGTGGAGGGCAGAGAGCTTTTCCTGTGTATGTTCATTCTCCATTGCTGTCAGATCAAAATAATGCTTATCTCAGAGGCAGATTTTGGGGTGGTTTGTCCTGATTCCTTTCAAAAGTGTTCTACAAATGTGAGAATTGATTCTGGTATTTTATGTCTGTTTTCTTTCTTCAAATTGAAATCTTAGTTTCTTATGATTACTCAACAAATTTACCCAGTTGAAAAAATGGAACGGAAATGACAAAAACTTTTAAAAAATATCCTAAGACATCCTTGTAAAAATGTTCCTATTCTTATACTAACAAATGGCTAAGGAAGATAGGAATGGAACTAATTATCTGCAAACATCCCTTGACTCCTTCACTTCCCATTTGAGTTTAATTCTCAAAAGAGAGACCCTGATGGATTCCTGCCATCAGGTATAATTATCTCAAGACTGACTGACATTTGAAACATATGACACTTTCCTACCTCTAATTAGAGTAAATTGGTGGAATTTATTTACTGGTAGTTTTGGGAATGGTTGGAGGCATGAGAGTACACTTACCATTATCATTTCCTGTTGATGTTAAGATTTAGCCCCTATTAGAGGGTTCTATATTTAGAATAAAATCCCTTAACAGATGTAGCCCAACGACTGTTGTATTCGTGGAGTAATCAGCCCAGTCAATGAGAGGTGGCATCTGAGAAGAAAAAAATTACTATTGACAAAAGCTGAAACCCCAAATCCATAGGAGTTTTATCTAAACAGTTGAAGTTTTTCTTAATTTAACAACCTTAAAATTATTTTACTATAACTTTTTTGATGTTAGTAATATGAACATGAAAAAGTCAATGTATATAGAAGTGTTTTAGTCCAACTTTTAAAAAAGTAAGAAAAATACTTGTCCAAATGTCTCATGATTATTTTAAGTTCCTCCATATTTGTGCTTTTCTCATTTATAGTTTTGTTCACTTATTTTTTCTTCTTTTTATACTTTCTCCAATTTTATTTTGTTGGGTATTTCCTAATGTTTTAATTTGAATTCTCAGTTTGTTTTCATTTTTCTTTTTTTAAATATGTTTATGTTTGTAGATTTAAACTCTAAGTCAATTTCTAGCCTGTTTCATATTTCTAAAAATGTAATAAATTTTATTATTATTTTGAAAATTTAGTTCTGATTCTTTTCTTTGATATAATATTGATTAAAAGAACGTTTCATGCACTTGTAATCCAGCACTCAGGAGGCTGAGGTAGAAGGAGCTCAAGCTCAAGGCCAGCTTGTGATAAAACTTTGGGCTACATAGCAAGACCTTGTCCCCGGCCACCATAACCTTCTTAATTTTCATGAGCTTGGTTTGCTTCTTCTTGTCCTTAATGTTCATGAGGTTGGTTTGCTTCTTCTTGTCCTTCTCTTCCTACATGACTTTTTCTCCTGTTTCTCTTATCTTCAATATATAGTTTAATGTCATTCATATCATAGTCAATGATGTATCCTGTACTAATTCTAGATTTTTGGCTTGATTTATGCTCAAAATTTTATAAATGTACCATAAATTCTTACAAAGCAGGTGTAGCAAGTTCTATATATCTTTTATACTTGTGTTCATCAAATATATAATTCATAGCCAACATTTTTTTGTTTAGTGATTTTCCATGAATTAAAATTATGATTTAAATTTTTTATGTCAAATCTGTTTTTCCTTGTATTTCCTATAGTCTATACATCATAAATTTCAATTCAAATTATTCTGTGTACCCACACAGGATCTGTCACCACTCTCTGGATCTTTTTGGTCTCTGTGACAGGATGTCTGTTGCAGTACAACTGAGCCTATCAGGGATTTTGAGTGATTGGCATTGGGTTGAGAATTATTTGTATTCTGTGCCCTCTATTCTTCTGATTCTAGGTCTCTGTCACTTCTGTTCTTTTGGGTCCTCTACTAGGGGATATATACCTTCTGGGTCCCTTGCATGCTATACACAGACATTGAGGAAACGCCCACTCCCCAGGTTCATGGGCCTAGATCCCTCCCTCTGTCAGACCATCATGCTAGGCATTATACTGGCATACTGGCACTAAGCCAAGGGAAAGGTTTCCTCTAAAGATTTGTAGCTTTTGGGCCATGAGCAGAAGTGCCACTAGCCTTGATATTTTCCAGTTCTCTTCATGTTGCTTGCAATGTTTTTCTGGCTCCATCTCTTTATGTTCACTGTAGAACTTTTAATTTTTGTGAGTCATTTTGTGCTTTAAGTCAGAGATAAATCTAAAGAACAGTATTAAAAATGTGTGATGTCATCTGAACATCTTTTCCTTTAATAAATGTATTTACTTCAGTTACCTATATTGTTGATCCATCAACATATCCTGCTGATTTTATCTTCAAAAACCTATCCTGACTCCACCTACGTTTTGTCACTACCACTCCCATCTTAATATAAGCTACTTCTTGTTTTGTTTTGCTTGAATTATTGCAAGAGCTTCCAAATTTATCTCCCTGGTTTGAATCTACCTAGCTGCCAGAGTGATGTATTTAAAAATATAACTGAGATCATGTAAGTTTGCAAGACCTAACAAAGGTATCCCTTCACACCTGAAACAACATTCAAATTCTCTCCTGGATTCTAGTAGTCTAAATTCTTTAGCCAATACCTACCCCTGGCCCCTAGGATCCTCTTGGATCTCTTTCTTCCTTTCTGACTACACTTTTGCCAAACCACAATGACATTCTTTCTGTTCTGGAACAAGACAACTTCCTGCCTTAAGGCTTTTGGGCTAGTTTTCTGTGTGTTTAGAAGGCTCTTTCTCTATGACTTTTTTTTTTTTTTTTTTTTTTTTGTAGCAGGGATCAAACTTGGGTCCTTGTGATTTTGAGGCAGGCAGCAGAACCACTGAGCTAAATCCTTGGCCCTCTCTGTGACTTTTTGAAGCTGGTCTTACCTTCAGTTGCCATGTCCTTAGAGAAACCTACTCTCACCATCTAATATAAAGTAGCCTTCTAGCTACATTTTATCACATTATCTTTTTTTGTGTTTATCATAGCACATATTATTACTAGATTAATCATATGGATATATTTTCTTTATCTGCCTCAAGCAATGATATGTAAGCTGTGTGAGAGTTGAAGCATGCTCCACAGTTATCACTAATCATCACCATCATCATACTAGTAAACTAATCTAGCATATGCTCTTGTTCCTCTGGCCCTGTTCTAAGCCCTTTCCATGTATTGCCTTTATTTAACCTTCTTTGCAATCTTATGAGGTTGGGACAATTATTATCCTCATTTTATTGTTGGAAGAACTGGGGCACAGAGAATCCTGTGATTTATCTCATGATTTACCATTAATCCCATGGTAGAGCTGGCATTTGAACCCAGGTAAAATGACATTAGAGGGCCATGTCCTAGTCAAAACAATTACATGTCTGTATAAGGCAGAACTATTTCTCCTAAACACTCAGTAGCAGAGAGATAGGTAAGTGAAAGAGAAGTCCCAATAGAACTTGATCAGTTGTATATCACAGACATTGAAGGAGGGGTAGGAGAATATATAAATGGATATCATATTTACATTATAAAAATTTTGTTATTAAAATATATTAGAAAATCCTAAAATATATTCATTAATATATTTGTCGGGCCTTGTGCATTTGCTTATTTAGGTGTCTGGCATTGTTATTGTACAAAACAGGGAGTTAAGAGATGAAACTTTTTCAGTACAAAATGTACTGTAAAATGCAAACCAAGACTAATTCTTTTTCTGAAATGGTTCTGTTATTAGTTTCTTATTCTTTTACACTATTTGAGAGATAGATTATTTCACTCATGAAAGGTGATGTGGAGGAACTAGAAACAGGTGAACCCAAACTGTCAAGAGAAAACCAGTATTTGCCTGTATGAAGAAAAAATTTTGAAATAATCAGGCATAATTAATGTTTGAGCTTAGGATCATGTGAGAGTTTGCTAAGAGGCCAGTCCAATTCTGCTGGCCAGAAATAGCAGTCTGATCACAGGTGTGCTAAATAGCCATCCCATGCCTCACTGAAATTTAGCAGTTAGTAAGATTAACTGCATACAGCAAATAATAAGACCGTCATTAACAACAAAAATGACCAGTGTTCATTTAGTCCCCAAAACTAGTGTAAGGACCTTGTAGGAATGAGGAAATTGTGGACCAGAAAGGTTAAGTAATTTGTCTAGTATCACACAAGTATAAAATGATAAAGCTTGAATTTGAACCCAATCATAAGGTTGTGTAAATAAAGCAAGTAACTAATTACTGCTATTGAGTGGCTACTATTTGCCTGGCCTTTGGCCAGGCACTTTACTGGCTGTCTCATTTAATCCTCATGAAGTGAGTGTTAAACCCACATTACACGTAAAGAAGACTCAGATAGAATTAGAGAATTTTCCCAAGGTTATGTGAACCAGGCACGTCGGGCTCCAAAGTTTGTACAAACTAGTAACTCATTAAACTCTTTAAACTAGCAAGTGGGATACTATTTTTCCTTTTCCATAATTACTTTTACCACCCTGAGTGCTTTCCCTCAGGTATTTTGTGTTTTTATGATGTACAGCTCAATAAGATTTTCAGAGCTCAGATAATGTGCTAGGCATTGTGGTAAATTGTTTGCCATTAATTACTTCATTTAATCCTGCCAGCAACCAAATATTGTTGGTACTATCATTAGCACCTTTTTATACAGGAGACAACTGGAGCTGAGAGAGATGCTTTTGCAGCAGTTGGAGGAAATGGATGGTGATGCAATTTTTTTTTTTTTTAGAGAAAATGAAGCATTTTAAAGCCTCATTATCTTTCCCTGAGCTGAAAATAAATGAGTTGGATTCAGAATTCCTTTAATTTTTGAGTATTAAGAAAAATATGCAATCCTGTTTTCCAATGGGTTTCTTTTGGGAAGCAGAATGGTTTGGAGTTGTATTCTTTGTGGTGTGTTTCTTGAAAGGATCTGTTGGGCTAATCTGGTTAATTCTGGACACTTCCTTTTCCCCTGTCTTCCTGTGGTGCTCTCTTGTGTTCTCAAGGTAGCCACCATTAGCATATGTCTGCTGAAGGAAAAAGAGGGGGGCAGGGTGCTTGGTCTCTGGGAAAGTCATTTGCATACCTCTTGTTACAATACAAAGGCCGACCACATCCTGGCTAGGACAATGTGCTGTCTGATAAACAGACTGCTTCCCCAGTGTCTGCCTGGAGCAGGTCCAGTGTGCAGCCAGCTTATGTCACAAGGTGCTGTTTATTCTGCCTGGAAGTCCAAGGAAAGGACAAACCAGCTAAATGAGTCTTTTATTTCTCCCATTCTCTGGCAGAAATTCCTTGAGTCCAAAACATTTATTAATATTAGATTAAGAGGAAGCATCAGAATTCTCCATAGAATCTTTCCTACCCTGTGGAAAACTTATTAAGTTTTTATCTTCTTCTCTAGCTATAAATTCTTTGGGGTTGGAAAAACTAGGAAACTTGGAAAATATAGTGCAAAGGCAATAAAGATCAATGTTTGCCAAGGTTTTTTATTGATAAATATTTATTTCCACATCTGTTTTCTATGTGTTCTCTCTCCCTTCCCTGTTTCCTCCCAGCCCAATACACACAGACAAAAGGAAATAGTCTTGAACAATTAATGTTGACTGCTGGACACATTGTTTAAGGATCTGGGTAAATAAGCCCTAATTTCTTCATTCTCCT